AGGTGTGTTACCAACTGACCAGAAGAGAAAATTGCTGCTATGACCAGTGAAACTAAAAGGCAACTACGCTGATGATCATACAGGCTCGGATGTAGCTACGGCAGATGAAGGTGGTCACGAAGTAATGATCATGAAGACGCTGATGCAGTTAGAGCTGAGAGACAACAGGTGTGCTACCAGTTGACCAGAACAGAAAGATCCTGCCAGGACCAGTGCAACTAAAATGCAACTACGCTGGTGATCTTACAGGCTCTGAAGTAGTTACGGTAGTTGAAGGTGGTCACGAAGCAGTGATCATGAAGACGTTGATGCAGATAGAGCTGGAACCAATGGTTTCACAACATTAAGCGCGCAGTATCACTGGTGTCTCCAGCCAAACACATACTACCCAAGCAACACGCTTTACTAAACACGCTCTCGAAGAAAGTAACAAAGACATTGGCTGCTTCTGAGCTTGAGCGAGAATTTGTTCCATCGAAGTTGACCGAGCCAGGGATTCCATTTCCAGCTTTCTGTTTCTTGATGAAGACTCAGAAGTGTGAAGGATTATGCTTGACGGTTGACTGAATACTGAGCAAATAGCTTTCATGTGTTGCAGAAAGAATTACTTTGTATTCCAACTCAAGCGCACGGAGTCTAGCTTTGTCGGACCCAATTTGTGTAAGGAAATATCTGTTGCGCATCTTACGTACATTGTAACGAAGGTTACTTAGTTCAGGAGTCCACCGTGGTTGGTTGAAAACAGATATCGATTCTTGTCTTTTTCGAGGTAAATGACGGTTGATAACTTCCGAGATATATTCGAAAAAAGCTGATAACATCTGATCTACCGTACCATTATTCGATAATCTTTCCCACGCATGCCGAATAGTCAAATTTGAAACATTGGTCATGATCGTCAAGTAGTGTGATGGTTATCTACAGGTAACAGCGGAGAAGACGGTGCAATCAGGTCAAGATATTCCGGTTGATTGGTAAATACAAGGCCCAGCAGACTGCCATTTGTGTTGACGAAACTATTATTCTGCCTAAAGCCGTTGGCAAACATGGCTTCTGTAAAGTTCATCTCAGTATCAGTAGACACATTCGAAGGAATGAATCCATTAATGTCCTCGTCAAGATGCCATCGCAAATTAGGAAGATTGATATCGCCAACCATGTCAGACTCCACCAACCATGTCAGGCAAGTTGTACTGCATTAGCATGAGCAGTATATAACTCGGTACTCAAATTAGGTGGGAGATAGATAGCGATTTGTTCTAGTACATTACAGTTAGCCATCGAAACAGATTCAGGAGGTAGTCGTGTCCAACTCGAGCGAGGGATTCGTGATCGCCAGGGTTAATGGAGTATATTTAAGTAGCTGTTATGCTCCACCCAGGTGGTCTATCGAGCAGTTCTCGCAGATGGGGGACAGACTCACTGCGGTACTTGTCGGCCTAAGACCGGTGGTCATTGCGGGCGACTTTAACGCATGGGCGGTGGAGTGGGGCAGCCACCACACCAACCAGAGAGGATGCATCCTACTGGAGGCACTGGCCAAACTGGACGTTGTACTATCCAACACCGGCTCGGTCAGTACCTACAGAAGGAATGGTGCAGAATCCGTCATCGACGTGACGTACTGCAGCCCTTGTCTGGAGGGCAACCTACACTGGAGGGTCGATGAGGGTTACACCCATAGTGACCATCAGGCGATTCGGTACAGTGTGGGGCCAGGTGAGAGGCGAGTGGCAGGAGGGAATGCGCTCGAGGCTGGTGGACGTCGTTCTTCAAGGACGAGGTCTTTGGCGAAGGACGGGGGAAGAACTGGTAGCAGCGCTGACAAGGGAGTGCGATACAACCATGCCTAGGAGAGCCTATCCCAGGCATGGCTATAGACCGGTGTACTGGTGGAGCGAGTTGATTGCTATCCTCAGGGCGTCTTGCCTCCAGGCGAGAAGGAGGATGCAACGAGCTCGTATGACTGAATCTCGGGAGGAACGCCGTGTCGCTCTTCGAGCGGCTAGTACGGGTTCCGTAAGGGCAGATCCACGGTGGATGCCATACGCGACGTTATCCAGACGGCAGAGGTGGTCCACCGGAAACGAAGGGGCATTCGTTACTGCGCGGTTGTAACCCTAGACGTGAAGAACGCGTTCAACAGCGCGTGTTGGGGTGCGATAGTCCGCTCGCTACACCAGCTCTAAATTCCCGGAGGGCTGTACAAGATTCTGGAAAGCTTTTTCCAGAATCGTGTGTTGAAGTACGACACAGAAGATGGCGAAAAATGCGTAAGAGTCACCGCAGGAGTGCCACAAGGCTCCAGCCCGGTGTTATGGCACGTCATGTACGATGGATTGTTGAGGATAAGATTTCCAGTAGGCGTAAAAATTGTAGGTTTTGCCGACGATGTCACGCTGGTAGTCTACAGGGAATCCCTCGAGGAGGTAGAGCTGACAGCGGCTCACTCCGTCAAGCTTGTGGAGGAATGGATGAGATCCAGGAAACTGGAGCTTGCCCATCACAAGACGGAAGTGGTCGTAGTCAACAATCGCATGTCGGTGCAGCATGCGACGTTGACAGTCGACGAGAGCACAATCAGGTCTGTGCGCTCTCTGAAACTCTTGGGGGTTATGCTCGATGATAAGCTCAGCTTCGGCTGCCACGTCGAGTACGCCTGCAAGAGAGCGTCTACGGCTGTGGGGGCATTATCCTGCATGATGTCAAACAGCTCGGCAGTGAATGCCAGTAAGCGCAGGCTCCTCGCTGCGGTCGTAGTATCTATCCTCAGATACGGTGGCCCTGCGTGGGCTGCGCTACTGGATATTGACTGTCACAGGCGGAAATTAGAGAGTACACACAGGCTAATGTGCTTGAGGGTGGCCAGTGCATGCCGCACTATCTCGAGGGAGGCCGTCTGTGTCATAGCAGGGATGATGTCAATCGGCCCCATCATTAAGGAGGACGTGGTGTGCTATGACGCGAGGACCGTTCGAGGGGTGTGCAACAACGCGCGAGCTGTGTCGACCGCGAGATGGCAGTTGGAGTGGGAAAAATTGACAAAGGGGATGTGGACTCACCGCTTGATACCTTCCGTATCAAGCTGGGTCAACAGGCGCCACGGGGAAGTAAACTTCCACCTGACACAGTTCCTGTCAAGCCATGGCTGCTTTAGGAGTTACTTGCATAGGTTCGGACATGCAAGTACTCCCACCTGCCCCGCGTGCGCTGGCGTCGAAGAGACGGCCGAACACGTTGTGTTCGCCTGTGCACGCTTCGAGCCAGTATCGAGCGTTATGCTAGCGATATGCGGAGCGGATACCACTCCGGATAACATCGTCCCTAATATGTGTGGTAACACCGAGAACTGGAACTACAACGACAGTGGCGTGCCGAGCAGCAGTTGCCTACTGCCCGACTAGATCGATAAAGTATTGCTAGAGAAGCGCCATAGCGCTATAGCGGCCTCTCCCACGAAGTAATGCCCTCGTGTGGTTCCGAGGAGGTCAAGGGCCAAGTGCACAGGGTAAGGTTTAGTGGGTCGGGAGTGCAATTCTCCCATCCCACACCCTGAGTTTGTGAGCAGATTCCCCCTGCATAAAAAAAAAAACACTACAGTGTGTTCTTAACCGGAATCAGCACTCCACCACCCTGCAAATGGCAGCTGGTCAATTCGATGCGATCGGGAACACGCTTCGTTGCGATGGGCACTTCGAGATGCGACGCTAGACGGTATGTTGGCATGCTGAGTGAGACGACGCTAGGTGCAACAGCTTAAGTCAGAGATGTTTCAACAATTTCAATAGCTTCGGTTGGAGTGTGGCATTACTGGAGGAGAAGTGTTCCAAATGTGTGTATACTTGTCTGCGACGACGGTTTGGAAGATCCCTTCTCCATTCTCATACACAGGACCGGGATGTCTGCTGAACGCCGGCAGGAGTGGCTCGACTGTGATGAGGGGATTAAGGACTTCCATGAGGCTTGCAGGCCTGCATCCCGGAGCCGGAATGATTGATCCAGACAAGCGTTCTTGCCTGTAGTAGCGGATCGGAAGACCCGTTCTCCACACCCAAATGGTTTGGATTTTAAAAACTTGATCTAAAACGGTTTCCAATGGAATACGTCTTGTTGCAATGCTTTGCAACGAATTTAATCTTCTGAACTCAGTGACATAGAAAATCCCTTAAAATTCCTAGCGTAGTTTTCTCTGCATTATGCTGAACATAAAGTAGGATATATTTCTACTTTGCGCGGAGCAGTCTTATGAAGTAACGGAATACCTTTTCTCTTGTCCCTCCCAAATCTACCATTAACGTTCTTTGTGGCCGAAAGCAATTCCAACCGCCAGAACTTCTACTAGCCGGTCGATTTTTCCGGTAAATCGTGCAGATTTCCACCGACAACACAGCTTATTTCGCCAATTAATTTCCAGCCATCACGTTTCAGACATAAATACAAACGGCATTTCAGTTTTATTAGCTCGTAAAAATGAAACGAAACCACCCCGAAAGAAAACTTTCCTCTGCCCATCTTCCATCGCCCGCCACCACAAAGCGAAGCAATCAAGCTGCCAGACTGACTTTCACCGTTCGGACGTGGCGTGTTACTCGATTCCCCCGAGAAAGGGGGCCACGTTTGCACAGACACACCACCATCGGAAGCACCCCATAAATCAAGTTCGATAATCAGCTCCTCCGATTCCTGGGAACATGGTTTGCTAATAAACGAACCGGAAACTCACAGCGGTGTTCACGGATACTGAAGCCCGTGGCTTTTTCCCCGAAATGAGTTCAATAAGTCAACTTGGTAAGTCAGTTCGATGGAGCAGTGAATGAGAGCATCACTGATGACGTGAAATCTTCGCTCCCTCTGGGAAAACAAACTAGTAATGAACGTTTCTATGTTAACAGCAACACGCAACACATCTTGGAGCAAAGTCACGCAAATATTTGCTGAAATCGGTTCCGCAACAGCTCAGCCCTAGACCATCAAACACATTCCGGTAGGTAGATACTCACCATTGAGCACGTGCACGTTCACCGTGATCGGATTGGCCGTCGACGGTGAGCACGTATATTTGCCCGAATCGGAGGTTTTCGCCCGCTGTATCAGCAGATACGAGGTCGTGATGTCACCCTTCTCCGTTATCACCGAGACGCCGCCACGTGGTGAATCGTAGTTGATTTCCTGCGGAAAAAAAAAATGGAAACAGACCGAAACGTGGTGAGAAAAGGGAAATGCGGTGTGGTGTAATGAAATCAATCGGAGATGAAGATAAAACAAGTCGCTCCTGAATGGAGGTGGAGAACGGAATCGGTGTAGGTGTTGTGTGTAAGAGGAGCTTTTCCCAGGGGTGGTTTTTGTGGGGACGCGAGTGTGAAGATGAGTGATGATTTGCTGGGCTTGTGTTGTTTCTTCGCGTGCGCTGCAAAGATGGGATTTATTTGATTGGGACTGTTGCTTGAAATTGGAATAAAATTAACTTTCATTTTTCGAATTCGGAGAATCGGAATTGAGGGGATAATCAGAATCGAAATGTTCTAGATATTTTTTTTTGCGCCCAGACAAATGACTCGATTATGTTGATGCATCATGGTTGTCTTTTCTTAACAAAATCGTACCGATTTAATTTTACCGTAGCTAAACATGTTGGAATTGAAATTCTTGTGGAATAGTCTGGAAGGTCTTTTTCGTTTTAGGGTTTTTGATCTAATTTCCATCCTACTAAGCACAACCCCCCCTATAACTCTCATTTTTTAACGGGTTTGAACTAAAAATGGAATATATCTGTCAAAGATGGCTTCTAAATTTTTTTCATCTTTCCACGCGTACCGTTGGATTTGATACAGAGTCACAAATGGTTGAGATATCATTTAACATCTAATACTGCTTCTTGATTCTAAATTCGTATTACGAGTTTCAATTCCGTCCTAACGCATTGAAACGCCATTAGTATTTCTTCGTCCTACGGATAAACGTAGAAAAAGGGGATTCGCTGGGAGCGCTTCTTTTGTTTTGAGAACAATGAGCGTAAATATTCATACAATGCGCTCTAAGAGTACCCGCACCAATGCGTTGCTATTGGGACTGCTAGTTAGACAACTTTAGCCATTGCTATTTTAGTTAGGAACTTGTTTACGCACCGTTCGTTGCTATCACGATTGAGAATTTACATTTTTCGGCTTTCGCACCGATAGTTCATCATCGAACTTCGAATTGAGATTGATCACTGATTGTTTTTGACGTAGGACTACGTCTGTGATTTCTATATGGGGGTTCACTTTGTGAAAACCGAAAATGGAACATGAAACAAAATTATGAAAGATTTTGAACTTTAATAATTCAGCTGCCCCTGCACCAATTTCAATAATTTTATCACCAATCGATCAGAAATATTTCGACGCATCTGTTTAATTTAAGACTTTATCATTTTTCAAAATATCACTATTGAAAATTGCACGAATGAAAATGATCACTGATTGCCTGCGAAAAGCGATTTCCCTAACACAGATTTCAAAGTTGAATTCCATCCGGTCTGACCGACCGGTGTTAATTCAATCACCGCGTGGTGAGTGGTGGTGTTCTCCAGTACACAACGAAAGGCTGCCTGCAAGCAGCGAGCTGCAGCCGACATGAGCATCCATAGAAGGAGGAAGAAGCCACTATTGATCGGAATCAGTAGCTATTGATCGGAATCAGTAGCTCTTCATGAGTCATTGTCGGCCATCTATGTCAAGCGCGTCATACTAAAGAGCATAAACAGAGAGAACCCGCTCAAATTCCAATTCCTACACAAAACACAAGCTCTTGCTGCAATTAACAAATACGATTTATTATATAAGCCCCTTGTAGTTTTATTTTTCTACAATATTGATATACCTAACCACGAAGACTGAAGATTGAAGGTTAAGATCCAACTACAGACCCAGGTACTCAAGAAACGGTCCTCCGGAAGATCCGAATAGCGTAGCGATTTTTTTTAAATCACTTGTTGTGATGCCATATGAATGAATTTGAATCTGAGACCAGCATGCGCACACTGGTGGTCACAAAACTGTCTTGTGGGAGATCCGGAACATCCATAAAAGTCGTCAATTCGTTAAAAATGATCTTAATATCGATATTCATATAATCATCTTATGAAAGTTGCGCACCAAAATGCATAAAGGCATTTTCGGATGCCCATCTGGATTACTAGATTACATATTTAAGCTTGTGAATGTATCAAGTTCGGTTGGTCAAATTTAAAATACGGTAGATCTATTGACATCAGCAAAAATTGAAACCTTCAAGAAGTTCTGATTGATAGAAATGTGGGAAAGTTAAAAGATCTTTAAGAGTAAGTTTCGACAGCTCCAGGCAATCTAATAGATTTCAGGAAAATTTACTTCAGCGGAGATCAAGAGCTTTAGGGCGGTTCCATTAAATTCAGGAAAATTTAAGCTTAATGACCTATGCGTAAGTTACGGGAACTTCGGGTGAGTTCTGAAAATGTTAGGGCAGTTCCATGAATATCAGAAAAACGGCAAGAGCTTGAAAGACGTTCCTTAAACTTTAGGTTCATTTCGAGAACTTTATGGCAGTTCCATTTATTTCAGTAAAATAGAGGAAACCATCAAGAAGTTCCGAGAATTTAAGGATATTAAAAAAATGAAGGGAATGAACTTAAAAACATTAATAAAGCTACACAGAAGATCCATCATGGTGTCTACTACCTGGAAAAACCTGGAAAACCGGGAATTTACAGGGAATTTTATTTTTTCTGGAAAAACCTGGAATATTCAGGGAATTTTGGTTCCACTCAGGGAATTTTCCAATTATCACTTCATTCGTAATTCAAAAGAAGTTTTTCGTTCAGTTTCTCGAAACGTTTCTTAAGGACACTGAACTTGACAAGCATCTGACAGCTAAGACAACGTGTGCGAACGAGACAAGTTCATTCAGAGAGTCTTGTCACGCTCGCTCTTCGCTGATTTGTATGTGGAGGATCAAAATCGTCGTAAAAAGGAAACAGCCGAAAAAGAGAGAATGGCAACCGTCAAAAGGAAGCATACGAAGCATATATTGTATAAGAATAAGCATGCCAGACAGCAGGTCTGAGACCCAACATAGAATTTTTTTTTTGAGCTTCAGAGAGGGTCGGAAATCTACTGAGAAATTTGTTGAGCTTCAGGGTAGTTCGTAGATCTTGAGAACAGAACTACAAACAAATTAAAAGTTATTAACAGAAATTCATAAAAACAAAATCACAAGAGCGGTCGTAGATCTTCAGATAAATGTTCAAAGAAATTTTCAAAACTTCAAGCAAGCAAAAATAATTTCAAATCAATTTGTAAAACTATAAGCGAAATTTTGCAAATCTTCAGGGAAATTCGCATAACTTCAGACAAGTCCAAGAATCTACAGTGAAATATAAAGTATTTCACAGAAGTTTGGAGATCCTCGAAACATTATTCAACATCAGAAAAGTTCGTAGATCTTCAAAACAAAGCTACAGAACTTTGAAAAAAATCACAGGACTTCTGAAAAAATCACAAGAATCTCAGAAATGTTAATGGATCTTCAGTAAAAATTGCAGAACTTCAGGGAAGTTCGGCGATTTAAAAAAATATTTACACGATTTCAGGAAAATTTATAGATCTTGAGAGAGACATTTTAAACTTCAAAGAAGCTCAAATATTTTCAGATAAATTTTGACAACTTTAGGTAATCTTCAAGGAAATTTTCAAATCTTCAGGGTAACCCTAGAGAAATTTACAAAACATCAGAGAAGTTTGCAGATCTACTGAGAAATTTATTGAGCCTCAAGTTTTTTTTTTGTAGATCTTGGGAATAGAGCTACGGAGCTTAAGACAACTTTACAGAACTTTAAAGATATTTGCAGGAATTTGACAAAATGTTTCACACAAATGTGAGATCTTCAGAAAAATCGTTAAATGTCAGAAAAGCACCTCAATTCCAAAAACAATTCGCAGCGAAGTACAAAAGTACAATATTTTGCAGAACTCCATGGAAGTCGGAAATAGATAGATCTAAAGAACTTCAGAGAAGTCCGTAGACCTTAAGAGAAGTCTGTAGAACGTCAGAAAGTTATAACGTTTTTTAGAAAAATTTGCAAAACTTTAGCAAAACTCACAGATCTTCGGGAAAGTTCGCCGATCAAGAATCCACAAAGAAATTTAAAGAACTTTAGAAAAGTTCGGAGATCTACTGTGAAATTTTTTTTGAACTTCAGGGCAGTTCGTAGAACTTTAGAGCAGAAATACAGTACTTCAGAAAACTTTACAGAATTTGAAATAAATTTTAGCAGATGTTTAAATATATTTTCAGAATTTTACTGCGGTTCTTAGATTTTGAAAGACATTTACAGAACTTCAGGTAAGTTCGTTGATCTTTAGAGATATTTGCACAGCTTCAGAAGAATTAGAAAAACTTCAGAATACTTCCTAAAACTTCTGGAAAGCTCAACAATTTCTAGATAATCTTTTAATTCTTTAGAAAATTGTATAGATGTTCAGAGATATTTGCAGATATTCATTGAATCATGAAAATCTGCAGAGAAAATTACAAAACTTTCGAGAAGTTTGTAGATTATTTGAAATTTTGTGAACATCATAGATAATTGTTGATCTCAAGGATCTTTAATCTAGGGATTCTGGAACTTTGTAGATTTTTAGGAAAATTTGCAGAACTTTTGAAGAACACACAGAACTTCAAAGAAATCTATAGAACTACCGAGACATTTGCAGATTGTCAGGAAAGATTGTTGATCTTTAAAGAAATTTTACCGGAGAACAGAAACAAAACTTCAGGGACGTCAGAAGGTTTGAAGACCTTGCAGAATTGAGTTGTTAACAGAAATTTTCAGAACTCAAGGAATCATGTATATCTAGTGAGAACTTTTCCCACTAGCTTGTCTAAAGTTGGTATCGACATCCTGGCGAAGTTTTGAAATCCATTTTCATCTTCATATCGCAGCTCTTGACGGACAAGATGAGTCAAATCCCTGCCGGTGTTGCTCCTGACCAACCATTTCCTACTCCACAAAGTTCACCTTCTCTTTCTCATTTTATTTAAAATAATAAAAGCAAATACGTCTGCCGAAACTAGAACAATTTTCCGGTAATTCATGATGGAAGTATTTACTTTTGATTCGTGATACAGTTTTGTTTTGACATCTAAATTGA